TGGCTTGTAAATATCTGTAATTTGAGTTTATAATTCATATGAAACTATAGACTTAGTATTTTGACTTCACAAACATCTAATTTGAACCAGTGCTACATACAAAATTGATGTTTATCTGAGTTTCTTTAATATTTACTTTTGAATTAACAAATTGAATAATATATAGTTCTAAAATTTGAATTATCTACAGTTTGATACCAAATTTATTGACATAAATTCATGAAATAGTAGTTCATTACAATTTTGAATGTGAGTCAACAAATAAGATGGCATGGCCTTTCATCTATGAGGCATATAGAAAGGGTTAATAAGCATTAAAAGCCTTTTGTAGACAAAAAAATCAGAATTTTTAATAAAATATTTTTACTACAACTTTATCCATAATCATATGGTGTCAGAGTGTTGACTGCTGTGAGTTGCTAAATGTCCATAATTATATGGTGTCAGACTGTTGACTGCTCTGAGTGCAAAGTGATTTTCATGTTAAGATTCAAAATACTTTTTTCATCTGAAAAATCTCAGATTTCATTTATTTAATCTCTTAAAACCTCCTAAATAAATTTCAGACTTTTTTTTTAAGTAAAAATTTTATATTTTATTTGTTATTGTCAATACTATAATTCTATACTAGCTTGGTCAGTTTGACTGACCTCATAACCACCATAAAAACATTGGAAATAATTGCTGTCAACTGTTGATGAAACGTAAGCCTACTTTTGTATACTAATGTTACTACCACACTAAATTTTTTATATAATTAAATATTGCACCTAAGAACAAAGAATAATAATACACAAAAAGCAGACAATGTCCTATAACTATCATAATTGTTCTGGCTTTCTAACTATGCAATAAGAGTCATTAAAAATTCAGCTAAGCTTGTCAATGTGTTTCCCATGAGAACAAAGTTGGAACTGGAAGCGTAATAGACAGTTCTCAGTACAAAAAACAACTAAATATAATAAGCCATTTAACAGATTAAAACTTTGGCTTTCCATTGGTTATAAATAACTTAGTATAAAATGTAGTAGAAATCTATTGGCAATTTGTGAAAGAGAGGGTATGACAGGTGGGCATGGCAAGTGGGTCTGATTTTCTAGTTTATGGCTCCCTAATCAAATAAGATTGAAGTCTATAAAAATTATGCTTTACCTAAGTAATTACTATATTATAATGAGTAATTTTCATTAAATTACTTACTTCTCAGAGGGGGTGGTAAATAAATTTTAGAAGAGGAAAGACATAGAGAGCAATTGTCAGAGTTCTCATACTAGGGGAGATTGATGATTTTTAAAAATATTTCCTTATAAAATTAAGAACTTCTTAAAACTGAAGTAACATCAAGATTTATTAACTATGTTTTGATGCCAATTTAATTTGTATACATTGATAACAAAGTAGTTTAATTAAATTTAGAATGTAACTCTTAAAAGGTTATTGTATGTGCACTTTGACCAACCTTTTGTGAAAGGATTAATATCTATTTGGCCTGTCTGTGGATCGGGCCCCTTGCCTTCTATTTCATTTGCATGTTCTCCATTTTTGTGTCTTCATCTTTTTCTCACCATCCACCTGTATTCCCTCTCCTACCTCCACCTTTTGTGTGAGGCACTCCATTGTGTTCCAGAGGAGTTTTCTGAAGAAGTTATTTCCATTTTCTTTGCCAGCGTGTTCCACTTCTTCTGCTCTATCTCTTCTTACTACTATCTCCTGATGTTGGGACTGTTTGGGTCAGATTACATTCCTCTTTACTGTACACCTTCCTCCTTCTTGTGTATGATCTTCATTGGGGTTCCTCTCTTTGTGTAGACATCTTCGGTGGTCTTAATTTCTCTCTGGAGACGTGGACTGACATTATACAATTTCAGTTCTTGTTATCTTCCAAGGGCCCCCCAGTGGCACAGCGGTATGTCTGCGGACTTACAATGCTATAATCCGGGTTTCGATACCCATGGTGGGCAGAGCACAGATAGCCCTTTGTGTAGCTTTGTGCTTAATTACAAATAATAATAATCTTCCAAGGTTTTTTCTTCTTTCTCAACCTTGCAAATTACTCTTGTTCCTCATCTGGATCAGTCTACCTCTAACCTTCCTATTCCAGGCTTTCCTCTTTTTCTTGTCCTCCCTTTACCAGGCATCTAGTTCATCTCTCTTCTTGTCAGTAACTATTATGTCACATTCGAACCTGCGGGTACCTTATCTCCATTTTCTCCTGATGTTGAGAGATCAAATAGCAATATTTTGATTACTTGGACAGGTGGAATGATCAAAAACATTAATATTTGGAAACACTTCTTTTTGAGATGTTAATAGATTTAATTGTAATTTCAATTAATTGATTGTTTTACATGACACTAATTACTATAATTGATGCTCATAGACAATCAGCTATATCAGTTAAAGAAGTTAATTGCCCAGCTCTTCAGCTAAGTATTACTTACATAAAATTTAACTCTCGAGTAATGTGAATAGTATGTTGACTTAGCTTTATTAAGAGTATTACTGTTAATATTTATTTTAATGTTTAAGTCATGCTATAAAGTGCAACAAATATTATTTATTTTAATCTGTAAGTCAAAGGTATTATTCCATATTTTGTAATTATCTTTTACTAGAAATTCATTGAGAAGTCAGACTTGGCCAAAAGTGGTAATGTTGATTTTGCCGAATTTGTGCACTATGTGATTGAACATGAAAAACAGTTAATGGTAGTGTTCAAGAGTATAGACCAAAACAAAGATGGTAAGCTACTGTTCGTTGGTATAGAAATATGTTTTTTTTAAATATAAGATGGTGCATATGGTTTTTAATCAGGCAATGATGGTACATATTTTTCTTACTTAAGTAGTAGTAGATAAATATTGTAAGTGCTTTTGTTAATTTACTCATAATAGTACAAGTGTTCCTTAATAAAGTAAATATTGTTAAATACTTTTCTTTAATCAGTCTATAATGGTACAGATATTCCTTACTTAACTAGGTTTTAATGGTGCCAGTGTTCCTTAATAAAGTAAATATTGTAAGTACATTTCTTAATCAGGTTATAATGGTACAAGTATTCCTTCATAGGGTAAGTATTGTTAACACTTTTATTAATCAGTATTTACAATATGTATACCTTTTAAAAACCAGAAGATAATGCTATACATCTTTTATATTTAAGTAAAAACATTATGACCTTTTCTTAAAAGTTATAATGTTTATTAATTGATCAAGAAATTATTTTTAATTTGTTCCATGGTGGTACACATATTTAGAATTAGTTCAAAATACCATGTCTGTTTTTTAAATGCTTTTTATGTAATTTCTAAGTTACTCATGATAACTAAGAATACTTGACATTACAGTTCATGTGGGTAAAAATCAAAGTTAGATATGTGTGTGTGTGTGTCTATATATATACATTGAGCAGTTGAAGAAGATTCAAATTGTCAAACTTTTAAAAGAAAAGTAATTTTCCCCCTCAAGAAAAACGAAAGTTTTCCACTGTTAAACTTGGAATTCAGATGTGGGTCGTTGCTTATTGGTACTATAATAGAATTTTTATAAACTGTGATATTAACATTTATCTTCATATTTTCAAGGAAAAGAATGGAAAAAAATTACCACACCTATCAGTGAGTTTGTACTTTTCATGGAGTTCAGGGTGTATGAAAACATTGACTAGTTAACTGTAGAATACAGTAGTAGTGGTGTGCTTATGTTATACTGTCTCATCATTCTCAACCCCAAGAATTTAAATTACAGGTATTTTTGTCTTTTTTTTTTTCATTAGGTAGAATTGATGCACTTGATATTTCAAATGCATTCAAGAAACTTGGAATTTCTCTAAACCATCAAGAAGCAATTTGTCTTGTACAGCGGTATGTTTAGATTTTAATTGGTAACTTGTTAGTGTTACAGTACAAAAAAAGCTAGCCCTGTTATTTCTTTTAAGATCTTTTGCAATTTAAGAAAATATATTTTCAATATTTTTCATTCTCATAACATATCATATAATTAAAAAAAAACACCATATGTTAAAATAATGTACTTAATTTATCAAGTAAAGTTATACTGGTTATTAAAATCATGTTTGTGAGATTTTTATGTTGAGGGGGTTGGTATGATACAGTTTCATTGGATGCTATTTCAGTAAATCTCTGCTATTCTCTTTATTGATTTGTAGACAAGAAGTAGCAGAAATTCATAAGGTTATAGTACACTGACTATTTAACTAATGAGTTGAAAGTACTGTTCTCTTTCAATGGTCATATGATGTTGGCCAGGGATCATAAAGTAATGGAGGGAATGACTAGAGAAAAAAGTTGGAAACTTGCGACTATTTTGTATGGGGAAAAAAGTAATATAAAATTCTTTATTTAGAGTGATACACTGTAGTATATATATGTTTAACCATGTGTCAGGGTTTCAATCTTTAATGAGTCCAGAAAATCAGCTGTACTTACAAAAGACATAATTCTTTTGAAATAAGTGCTCTGTTGTTAAGAAATTGTACAAATCCGGGAATTGTAATTTAATTAGTATATATATTTTTTCCAGCATGGACAAGGATAAGACTCTCACAATCAATTTTGATGAATGGAGGAGTTACTTACTTTTTCATCCTTCACCCGATTTGAAGGACATCTACCACTACTGGAGACATTCTACTGTAAGGGTTGGCTATTTTGAATGCAGCATGAAACAATGTGTGTGAAAGTGTCTACTTTGTATACTGGCAGGAACCAGTAGTGTTTCTGTGTGAAAGCAATTACTTTATACATGGACAAAAATTAGTTATCAGCACTATGGACAAACAATAACATGTGGAACATGCACCATTTAGATACAATGGCTGTATGTAGGCAAAATCCATGTGTTCAGTACATGAAAAAGTAGCTGCAGTATACTCTGTGTTAAGGAAAAAAAAGTAACATATGTATAGGTCATAAAGCAGTTGTGTACAATGTATGCAATTGACTGCTTTGTCTATGTTACACAGAAAAGTCATGTATACCCTGTGAAACCAGAGTATGGATATAAGCCCTTGTGTATAATGTTTGACAAGGGATTACAGTGTATGTACAGCATATACCAGTTGTGTACTCTATATGAAACTGATACTATGTTGTACATGATTGCCATTTGTATACATTTTGTGAAGAAGGTAAGACTGAATTGGTTATCAATCAGCTGTCAGAAGTAGGACTACTTTATATGTGAGCATTACCTAGTTCTGTTTAATCAGCTGTCAGAAATAGGACTACTTTATATGTGAGCATTACGACAGCTGATTGAACAGAACTAAGAAATAGGACTACTTTATATGTGAGCATTACCTAGTTCTGTTCAATCAGCTGTCAGAAATAGGACTACTTTATATGTGAGCATTACCTAGTTCTGTTCAATCAGCTGTCAGAAATAGGACTACTTTATATGTGAGCATTACCTAGTTCTGACAGTGTAAATAGAAACTATTTTTGTAGTTATTAAATTACACATAGTAACCACTGTACTTTGAGTTATTGAGTTATGAATATTTAACTATTAAATCAGACATGTTGACCAGTTAATATGCTATAAAAATGTCATTATCTGGTTTTGTGTACGCATATCCTTATAAATGGCTGCTAACTAATTCAAGTACTTTAATTGTATTTGTAGTTTGTAGATATTGGAGAAGATACTCTTGTTCCTGATGACTTTACAGAAACTGAAATGCAAACTGGCATGTGGTGGCGGCATTTGGTAGCAGGTGGTATAGCAGGAGCTGTTTCTAGAACATTTACAGCACCACTAGACAGATTAAAGGTGTTTTTGCAGGTATGTTTTTGTGCTTTTGTAAAAAACAGCTCTGCCCACCCAAGATTTAATAGTGTTATAAGCACTCAGATTTACTGGCATATTTTAATGTGTCATCCAATGTTATATAGTTTTATTTTGTTAATAGGCCAGAAATATGTTATCATAATTTTATATTGTAAGTTGCTGTTGAATACACAAGACTGTATAGTTTAAGATCTATTATTTAGGTTATTTAGTGATCTAGTATTCTATGATTATTTAGTTTTCATAACAAGAGTGTTAAAAGTTGATTATTTTAAAGGTGATAGTTATGACAAGTTTCATTACGTAACTTTGTATGAATCGTATGTTGTATTTGCAGTTTAATTGTTGTACTAGACTTTTGTAACATTGTTGATGTCATCTAATTCGAAGCTTTTAAGTCTTTCTCATTATATTTCATATTGTTGCTAAAGGGCTAGATATTTCTAGATTTTTTTTGTCATTTGTTATAAATACATGTAGATACAGAAGTTAAGTAAGTAAGTTAGTGAAAGTAAAAGTGAAAAATTAAATTAGACTGCATGATTGTCAGTTTAACAATAATGGACGATTTCTAAAGTGAATTTATCACTGATTCTATTGTTATAACAGAAGAAAGAAGAAATAATTTGTCTTGTCAAAGAGCATTCTAAAGTAGTTGAACCCGCCTGTGTGGACTTTGACGAAAAAGAGACAATTATTTAAAGCTCTGGATACAACTGTGATAACCAAAAGTGTACATATGTTTGACTTGTTTTGAATATATTATTTTAAAACAAGTGGATTGTGTGCTGTCCATTTATTGTTGAAATTTATTGCCAACAACTCGCAGATGCCTACTGTAAAGAATCTAGCTCTCATAAAAATTGACGGATTCTTTCATTAATATGTCTTCCCAATAAAAAGAATCAACGTGGGAAAAAGAAAAAAATGCAAATTGCTCAAAGTCATGTTTCATAAACAAATTTCTCTCAAATTAGACAGTGTAATTTGTAAGGAAGCTAATACTGGGAGCATAGACAGTAAGTTTGTTATTTTCAAAGAACAATACATTAAAGACAGTAAAATTAGATTCAATTAATCTCTGTAGTTTACTGAAGTCTAAGAGTCTAAAGGTAATTTTTATATTTTAGTTATGTACTTGCCACTAACTATATTAACAAGAAACAACAAGGATCTGTGTATCTCTTAACTGCTTTACAACACATAAATGTGTTTTCAGAATGAAAGTTATAGGTTTGAATCAGTGGTTTATCAAAATTCTTTAGTACTGTTTACACACACACACATTAAAATATTGTCTTCTACCACTGATAAGAAGATTGTTGAAACCATTAAGACAATGTCTACACTGCCAGTTATAATCGACAGAGAACCCATCAACTTTTCTCCCTGAGAACTTGTAGATGAAGTCCACAACTATAAACCTAAAGTCCACATACCAGGAGTAACTAGATAAGAGAAACCTCAAAGTTAGGGTATTGTTGCATCTATTGAATGGTCCTTGAAAGCTGTAATGAAAACTATATACTTAACACTATCCTTACATGTTATGTCAAGGATGCTAGAAAAAGAACTAGTTGAATTCAGAAGGTCAGTTTGTCTCATTTTCACACAGACAATATATGTAATTAAGGAAAATTGTTAGTAGTTTCCTTGACGTTCTTACCTGTGGTTACTGAAAATGAAAGCTACAAATATGAACATTAGTGTTAGTTCATTGAAAGATTTAAAGCTTTTGACACACTTAAATAAGATCATTACAACAGACAACCAGTATATGTTTATATATGTGGCCTTGTAGTTAACTTATCAGACTGGGGATTTTAAGGTATCAGGTTTGAGACCTGGTGCTACCAAACACTTCAAACTTTTAGCTGTGAGTCTGTTATATAATTGATAGTTAATCCTGCTATTCAGTTAAGAGTATCTGCTTCAGGTGGCAGGTGCTAAGGGCTGATTCCATTCCCTCTAATTTGCAGTTCAAAATTAGGGATGTATTTTTATGATCCTTAGAGGTCTCTGACCTGGTCAGTTAGCAATTGTGTGTATATGATGTATTATTCAGGTAAACAGACAAATAAGAAATATACAAGTGAATTAATACTATATACCATCATAATATGAGCTATAACAGACTGATCATATTATATAGATTTTTTTAAGTCACTTAAAACGTTTTTAGCTAAAGCAGAATAGTAATATCAAGCAAATAAATATGCAAACTAAAAAGAGTAAAGCAGTAAAATTGTGTCTATTTCACAAGATTTAAGTGATCTTAAATCACATTGTTGAGAAAGCTTCCTTGCCACTTCTTTTCTTAATAAATTGTTACCAGTGGTTTCTATTCCAAAATATAATTTGTCATCTCATATTTTATTTCTTCCTGTTTTTGAAGCCTTCTTATGTTAATATTTTGAAATTCTGTTTGTGAGTCATAGTTTTTTTGTCATTTTCTTATATATACACATTTAGCTTACATAAACAACAAATACAATATTTTTTCACTTACAACAAGGAAGGTACTAGAAACTAATATTATTATAATTGGAAAACACTATCCTAACTTAACCAGACATTTTATGTTCTGATACAATTTTCAGATAATATTTGCTTTGGATAAGCCCTCTCCCCCTCCCCAGTAGCACAGTGGTAAGTCTGCAGACTTATAACACTAGGAACTGGGTTTTGATACCTGTGGTAGGCACAGCACAGATAGCCCATTGTGTAGCTTTGTGTTTAGCTACAAGCAAAAAAAAAACTTTTGGATATAAGTTACTTATTAGATACAACTTAACCATGAATAAAATATGTTAGACAACAGTAAATTTCAACATATGGTGTCATGATTTTCTTTACTTATGTTTATAAACATAATCCTTGATATAATACATTCTTTAAATAATATTTGAAAGTTTGATTTATTCTGTGATGTTTTAGATTTTAGAATTATAGCTCTAGTTTGATTAAACCACATTGTTTATTTATAACAGAAAGGGATGCAGATAAATGTTTTGGAATGCTACAGATTACATTATTCCTAAGTAAATTGTTGCATGAATGATAATTTAATTAAAACTAAAACACAGAAGGTAGAGGAGTACAGTATTTTGGTTGTTACTCTTGTTTCTATGTGTTTTAGTTTTGATTAAATTACTGTTAATGTAGCAATGTATTTTAGTTATTTACTTGGGAATAATGTAATTCTTTATATTTGTGCTTTAGATACTGAAGGTGAAATCTGTAGAATTCTGTGAATCATTTGTCTGTGTCCTTTTATAAATAGATAATGTTGTTCATCTTAAGTATTGTTATCCATCTGTTTGTCAAACTTTGTTTTCCTTCGAACACATTGCTTGCTAAAATATGTATTTGTTCTTGTTCTTTATTGAAAGAGTTTTAGAGTCAAGATTTTTTTTTTCTTCTTAGTGATATAAGAACTTCTTTTACAGGTGAAAGGAGCTGAGTTTGCCTCTGTGCGATCTTGTTTTGTGCACATGTTACATGAGGGTGGAATCCACTCCTTATGGCGAGGTAATGGAATAAATGTACTGAAGATAGCACCAGAAAGTGCACTGAAATTTATGGCTTATGAACAAGTAAGATTTTGTTTGTCTTACTAGCACATGATTTTTTTTAATGATATTTGCTCACCATTCTTTTTTGTTATTTTTTTTGTTTTGTGTTATAATTTTACACATTGTAAATTGATAGTCTCCAAGTTGTATCTTCAAGAAAAAAGTTACATTTTGGAAAACCAATAAAGATTTTTTTTTTAATTATCATCACTACATTTAGAAATAATAGAAATAATACTCTAAATGTTCAAAGTGTTCTCATGGTACTTTAACCCTTTCAAGACGAGTCACAGGTGAAAGGCCATGTCATCTCGTTTGTTGACTTGCATTAAAAATTTTATCGAACTACTATTTCATGAATTTATGTCAATAAGTTTTGTATCAAACTATAGATTATAATTCAAATTTTAGAACTATACATTACTCAATTTGTTAATTTAAAAGTAAATATTAAAAAAACACAGATGAACATCGATTTTTGTGTGTTATGTGGTATGTTGAATGCAGCACTGGTTCAAATTAGATGTTTGTGAAGTCAAAATACTAAGTCTATAGTTTCATACGAATTAGAAACTCAAATTACAGATATTTATAAGCTAGCATATAAAATAAGAAGGTCTTATCTTTTCTATTTGCTAAGATATTGCTCATGTAATAAATCAAACACAGTGACACCTTGCTCACCTTTCTCCATTTTTGGATATGCTCCCTTATATACACTTACTTCTATATATGACTCGAATAACCAATTGGAAGCTCAGAATGTCCCCCTAGTGGTTTTCTTAACCTTTCTAACGTTTCTTTGGTCATTTCTTTTGAATCAAGATTTCAATGAGGTGGGTTGTGTCTTTAGTCTGCTCGAAATTTCATATTTTTTTTTTAGACCCAAATACAGCTTAGTTACTAAGGTTGATAAATTATAGTATAATTCTATGGTACTGAAGTAATAATTTATGATTTTTTAGTTATTTAAAAGTATATATAAAACCTAAAAAAATATTTTGTTTGATATCCTCCAGGTGCAAAATTTTTAAAGGCTTAGCAACCTAAGTTAAGCAGCAACCAAGTACAAAGGTCGTAACTAGGAGAGATAAATGTTTGCTTTACTTCTGTATTTACTGTTCTATGTTTTAAGAAAAATAACTTTAAGAACTTATATCAAAATAGCAATAATTTATATACATATATATAATAATTAAAATGTGACTGTATTTTACAAAATACTAGTCGGCTAAAACACAGCCAAGA